CTATATCTAATTACTTGTATTGTGAATTGTGATGTGTAGGTGACCTGGTGGGCATTTATAATGTGTTCATTGGGTGTATTTCTATACCAAACTCTGGACGCATTGGACGGCAAGCAATGCTATAAAGTGCAAAACACACAGATGGAAGAGGTGTACGATCACGGGTGCGATGCCGTGTCCACTATATTTGTCACATTGGCCGTGTCGTGTGCCATACAGTTGGGTCGCACACCTATATTGCTATTCCTTATATTCCTCTCCTCTATGATAGCGTTCTTTTCCACCCATTGGTTATGTCATATCAAACACCAAATGGTGTTTGGAAAGTATGTGTTACCTTGTTGTATTACATGATGATTTGTCAATTTAAATTTATACTATTTTATAATATGGGTTAAATACAAAATAACTAAATTATAATTTTGTAGTTTTTACTGTGTAAAATAATCCTTTTAAAATTTCAATTCAAATATGTTACTGTTATTTGAAAATGATAAAGTTTTTAATAGATTATTTTTGCATTTATTTAGGATTGATGTGAGTGAAGGCCAATTGGTGATGGTTATCATACATCTGGTCACTGCCTTTTGGGGTCAAAAGCTATGGCGTACCCAGGTGTTTGGCACAGGCATTGAATTATCGCATATATTAGCTTTGGTAACAATATTGGCAATGTTTTCGGCTATTTATCGAAATCTATCGATGATTTTTGGCAGAAAGACACCATTGGATGAAATGGGGATTGTATTACAGAGGCGTACGAATAACATATGGAAACCTGTGGTTCCGATCGCTATTCTCACTATATTTGCTATCATTTCCTATTCAATCGGCTATTTTCATGTCAGCCCTCTTTTGTTTATCTTTACGTTTGGCTTTGCCTTCGCAAAAGTAACCATTAAATTAGTGGTGAGATTACTATTTGAAATTGGTTTGGAATTTTGAAACTAATTTGATTTATGGTCATGTTTACAATAATATAATATGTTAGCGGTATTTCTGCAAACTCTATCTTTAATCCCTAATTAATTGAGATGTTGTAATGAATTGTGCAATTACTGAACTAAATGATATATAATTTGTGGATTCCATTAGATGATGAACTGTTGCAACGGAACAATGGATTACTGGGACAGTTGTCTGACGACACCACTACTGTTGGCCACAAACAGCCGATATCTGGTTTTATTGCACCCGAAGACGGCATTGTTGTGTGCGTTTGTGTACTCACTGATGGACGTGAGCCGATACTTCACATACGCCTCGTGGGACTTACGGGTGGCGCTCGACGTGAATATCTTTAGCATCAAAT